TAATGATTAGTTTAAAAATATAAATTATAAAAAATTATTAAATAATGTAAATATCATGTAACTTACATCAATATAAATTGACCTTTAACTCATTCGGTTGTTATAAAAAGTTAAATAATATTCTTTTAATTTTAAATTGTGTCATAAAAAATAATTCTTTTTTATTTTTTAATTTACTTCACACATATGCACAGTTGACTTGAAAAAGCCTGACCATTCATATTGTAGCCCAACGAACAAGGTCCTCAAACAAAGGGACATTTATCTTTTTATTTTTATTTTTAGTTTCTCCGCATTAAATAAAAATGCACTTTCATCTCTCTAAAAAATGAATCACCTTCGTCTTTTTACTTTAAAAAAATGAGACATTTTTTTCCCTCTTTCTCACGAAACTGCGTCCTCCTTCAATCCAATGGCGAATTAATCCTACCTAAATGAAAAGCCATGTAAAATCCCATTTCCGAAAATAGTTGTGGACAAACTTGGAGACCACATAATTGAATAGTCAGAAAGAAAATAGCAATCAACAACTATTGTTTTGTTTAGTATAAATGTGATTTTTTATTTTCAATTTTAATAATTAAAATTTAAACAATTATAATGAATAATTGAAAATTAATATTTAAAATTACAATTATCAATTTATTTAGTATAAAATTTCAAAACTAATAGCAAAAACTTCAAACTTAATTAATTTAACAAGAATATGATTGGATTAAAATTTCAAATTCTCATGGCTAGGACACTTTTGAAAATTTTACAGTTAGAGTTGGAGGATCAATCAAATCTAACAACTTCTGGTGAGCTTGTACGTGTTCCTTACGCCCAAGAAAAGAGGCATCTTAGGCCATGATGACAACCACCGGTAAGGCTTTTACACATCAACCATCCCACATTCATATTGAATTACTTTAACATTGCACTTGGTTGCTTCTTGTTTTATTAAAAATGTTAAATATTAGACCTAATCCTTTATAGAAAGTACAAAGAAATTTTCTAGTAGCTGAGTTGGCTTGAGAAACCGTAGAATTTGGCGAAAAAACAAAAACGATTGTTTATCTTGAAAAATAAAAAATGACAATTAATTAAAATAAAAAATTTTAAATAAAAAAATGAAAATTATTTTTAACGCATTAAGTAATTTATTTTTATTCCCCGTCTTATATTTCGCGATCAGCGATGCAAAAAAGAACTATCAAATTTCCTCCTGCATATACATAAATGCACCTTTTTTTTTATTTTTTTGGAAGTTTTATATACTCCACATAGAAAACTCTAGTTCATCAATTAAATCAAAGGCTCTCTAATTTCTTCAGTTACAGAAAATAACATTCAAAAATTTCTAAATCTAAAAGAAATTTCAGAGTTGGAAACAAGTAGCCATCTAATTTAAAGAATATGGTTGAATTGGAATATTAAGTTCTTGTGACACTTTTGAAAAATTTTAAACTGGGGTAGAAGGATCAATCAAGTTTAGAATGAAAAAATTGTTTATTAAAAAGATAATAAAAAAATGACAACTAATTTTAAAAGAATTCTAAATAAAAAAATAACAATTATTTTTAGCTTATGCATTGCGTAATATATTTTTATGCCACTTCTTATATTTTTCGATCAACAATGCCAAATGCACATTTTTTTTTGAAGTTTTGTATGCTCCACTGATGATTCAAGTTCATCAATCAAATCAAAGGCTTTCTAATTTCTTCAGATATAAAAAATAACATTCAAGAATTTCTGAATTTAAAGATATTTTAAAGTTGAAAATAAGTAACTATCTAATTTAAAGAATTATACTTGGATTGGAATCTTAAGTTCTTGTGACACTTGAAAATTTTAAAGTAGGAGTAGGAGGATCAATCAAGTTTAGAATATCCTCCAGGGGCATTAATAAGTAATTTAATTTGCCGATCA